TCCTTGCAGTTGCAGCCCATGCACGCACTTCTCCTTGTGCATCACCTCCAGTGTTGAAACAGCCACGTGTGCGAGTCGCCGATGCCAAGTCTCCCAATCCGCTTGGCCCGAGGTAGCCGACGCCTTCACCGCCGCGCTTCCTCCAATCAGCTCCTCTCCTTGCACACCTTGCTGCTCCTCCTCGGTGACGCACTCCTCCATAGATGCCGCCATTGCCGCCTTGCCTGATTTCCGCCAAGGGAGGACCGGGATCTGCCACATCCGCTTGTGGACATCTCCCTTCCACTGCAGGTCCCAAATGAGGTGCTCATCGTTGTAGGCACGATAGCGCTCCGAGCCAATCGTCTCGGTGTTCACACCCGCATCTCCCAACCGGCCGGTAGAAATCAGGTTCGCGCACAAGTCCGGCACCCCCAGCACGTTCTTCAGCCCCACGAGCTCTCCATCCGCTCCCATAAACTTGGCGCATCCCATGCCCATGACCTTGGCCTTGGCGCCCGTCGCGGATGTGACTGTAGAGATGGGTGCGGGCTGAATCTCATCAAGTGGGTCCCCACGAGGAGTCATGTGCCAAGAGCTCCCGGAGTCAATCACCCAAAAGGTGAAAGGGTGTAGGAGAACCTTGGCAGCCATAGCATGGTCGGTTGCGCCTTCGTTCACGAAGAAGAAGAACCCGGCCTTCCGCTCCTCAGATTTGCCGCCTTTCTCCTCATCCTTCTCCTCTCCACTAGCTCCCATGACTCCCCCACTCCTCGTGCCACCACGCTGTGACAGGAAGTGAGAATGGATGAATGAAGTATCAAAGAGTTGGGTACAAGTACTAACCCTAATTGGGTTGTACCCCTTATGGGCTACCCCACTACAGCCTAAACAAATGTATAAACTATAATGTTCTGACACACCCCCATAGGCAAAGTGGGGGAGAACAAGTGGTCACAAGACCAGTCAAGCAAAGCAAAGCAAAGCAAGCTCAGGGTGGATCACAAAGTCACCACACAGTCCGAGCACAAGAGTAAGGCCACAAGGCCAGTTCACATGCAAGGTCATATATATAAAGGTAAACAAGCAAGGGCAGGTATGGAAAGAACTCAGTACAAACAAGATCAAGAAGTGAGCAAGTTAGGCCAGGTAGGCACAAGACCTAGCAAAGTACAGAAACGCAGATGATCACAAGGCGGAAGGGCCTTGGTGAAGATATCAGCAGTGTTGGCCTTAGAGGCCACGTAGGTGAGGCGGAGCTGACCACGCTGCTGCAACTCACGAGCCAGGAAGTAGCGGAGAGCAATGTGCTTCGTTCTGTGCTCCAGTCTGTGCTCCCGACACAAGGCCAGCATGGCCTTGTTGTCTATGTACAGAACTGCAGGAGAACAAGGCGGCTCTCCTAGGTCAATCACCAGGTAGGTGAGCCAGTGTAGCTCCTGTGCAGCCATGGCCCCTGCGTAGATCTCAGCCTCACAGCTCGAGCCGAGAACAGAAGACGAGCGGGTAGACCGCTACGAAACAGAGCCGGAGCCAAGGCTGAAGGTGTAACCCTGTGACGACCGCTGCAGAGCCTGGTCGTCAGCCCAAGAAGCGTCAGCGTGACCTGAAAGGACCACTCGATGTCGCCCTCCAAGCACTAGCCCCATGCCCGATGTACTGCACACGTAGCGCAACACCCTCTTTGCTGCAGCCATGTGCTCTGGTCTGTGTCTCCCAGGAGCAACATAGCGTGCCAAGATGCTAAGAGGGTATGCAAGGTCAGGTCGTGTAAAGGTCATCAGGTACATGAGGCAGCCAACAAGCTCTGGATACGTGCCACTCGGCTCTACGGACTCATCTGAAGGCAGAGCTGAGAGCGAGTGGCGAGTAGACAGAGGAGTGGCCTGAGGCGAGGAGTACGTGAAGCCGAAGCGCAGAAGGACCTGCTGCACCATGTGTGACTGAGTCAGGGTAATGGTGCGCTATGCTCTGTCCCGGGTGATCTGCAAGCCAAGGTAGTTGCGCAACTCACCCATGTCTGTGCACGTGTGTCTCTTCTGCAGCTCGGACTTCACGTGGGCGAGTCCAGCAATGTCAGCAGTGGCAAAGACCAAGTCGTCGACGTACACGAGGATGTAGAACGGCGGCAAAGAGGTGTCGGTGCGCAGAAACAGCGACGGGTCGGCTGTAGAAGAAGCAAACCCAAGAGCCGCAAGTGTAGTCCTCAGTGTGTCGTGCCACTCACGGGGCGCCTGGCGGAGACCGTAGACTGGCCGCCGGAGGCTCCATTGGGTACCAGGAGGAAACGACCCAGTGAAGCCAGGAGGGCGGCGCAGCCAGATCTCCTCGTGCAGGCTGCTCTGCGGGAAAGCTGTGCTGAAGTCAAGAGAGTGAAGCTCGTAGTCGCGCTGAGCGGCTATGTGCAGCAGCACCCGAAGAGTGGTCATCTTCAGGGTGAGAGAGAAGGTCTGAAAGTAGTCAACTCCCTGCCGCTGACTGAAGCCTCGAGCCACGTAACGCGCCTTGAAGACAGGCGGAGAGCCAAGCGGCCGCTTCACCCTGAAGATCCACATGCCACTGACGATGTTCGCCCCGGGTGGGGGAACCTCGTCGACGTAGGTGCCTGTGGAATTCCAGGAAGCCATCTCTGCGTCCATGGCCGACTGCCACTGAGAGGAATAGGGACCCTCGATCACCTTAGCGTACGATCGAGGAGTCGGGATGTCTGGTGCATCCGGGTCTCCCTCAGGGGCAATCAGCGTGGACACGAGATGGGGCAAAGTAGCCGCAAAGCACTGGAACTCCTCCTGCCTGTCCTCAAGGACGTCCGAGCTAAGAGCACACTCACCCCCGAAGGACGGAGGACAGACAGACTCAGACTCAGCAACAAGACTGGCAGCGTAGTCTAGACGACAGCGAGCAGCGAAGTCGACAAGCTCAGCAACTAGAGCAGACGCAGCAGTGGACTCAAAGGAAGAGTCAGTGACAACAGTTGCAAGAAGGCGCGTGACCGAAGGACTAGCAGCACGAAGGGAGTCAGACTCCGGGACAGCAAAAGAAGGAAGAGAGGACTCTGGAGGAGACCGCAAAGGGACACGCAGAGCAGCAACGGACGGACGCTGTGCCATCTGGTGTGTGCCGGGGACCGCAGGAGGACGCGGACGCCCAGCACGACGACTAGTGCGAGCAGCACGAACAGGCGACGCAGGACGAGACGCAGGCTCACGACGCTCAGCAAGACCTCCAGTAGGACCAGTGTAGGGAGAAGGAGCAGGTAGGGGGGAGGCAGGCTGTAACTGTGACTGTGACTGCACTGGCTGCGAATACTCTAAGGGAGGAGCACGACAAGGAGAGGGCGGGAGACCAAGAACCTGCTCCAGGAGCGGAACGAAGTACGGCCTCGGCCGCTCAGCGCCTCCAGAGCCAGCAAGGACGGCACCAGTACCCCCAGCGGCAGCACCAGCGCCAGCAGAACCTCCACCTCCAACAGCGCCAACTCCAGTACCCTCAGAAGCACCAGCGCCAGCAGCATCGCCAGCGCCAACACCCCCTAGCAGCTCCAGCTCCAGCAGCACCAACTCCAGTAGAACCGTCAGCACCAGCAGTCTCAGCAGCACCCCCAGACCCACTAGCACCGACAGCAGCTCTAGCAGCACCCCCAGACTCAGCAGCACGTCCCTTGCGGCGGGCGAACCACTCGCGCAGCTCCTGTGGAGAGAGCGGCTCCCCCCTCGACGAAGCACCGCCGGCGGCCACACGAGCAGACCCAGCACCCCAAGGCTCCGCACCCCTTGGCTCAGCACCCCCAGGCTCCGCACCCCCAGGCTCAGCACCCCCAAGTTCAGCACCCCCTGACTCAGCACCCCCAGGCTCAGCACCCCCAGTCTCAGCACCCCCAGACTAAGCACCCCCAGACCCGGCACCCGCAGGCTCAGCACCTCTTGCAGCACCAGAGTCAACAGCTACCTTGACAGGCTCGACTGCGTCTACCTGGGACACACCTGATGGGGCAGGACCCTGAGGAGGGAGGGGGTCTACCTGGGTAGCACCTGGCGCAAGGAAGAGCGGCGGCGGAGGGAGGGGCGCAGTGCGGTAGGGGAAGAGACGGTAGTAGGGCACCGACTCGTCAAAGGTGACGTCCTGGGAGGACAGAACACGGCGCGTGGTGGGGTGGTAAAACTGCGAGCTAGGCACGTCGGGGGGGAAGCCAAGGAAGACGCAAGGAACAGCACGGGGGGACAGCTTGTCCTGCAGACAAGTCGCGGACAAACGCCCGAGATCCCCAGACCCGAAACGCAGACGCATCGCCAACCTTCCCTGTCCACCGCAAGGCGGGGGAGGTCTCTGGCAAGGAGACCCGGGGCTAAAGGTTGAGCTGATGCGCGGCGTAGTGAACCACAAATGGCCATCGAAAATGGGGGGCAGCCGCATGCATCATGGACGTACGCGCGACGTTCATGACCATGCCAATGCGGCGCTCAGCAATACCATTTTGCTGTGGAGAGGCCGGAAGCGTGAATGTCTGGCGGATGCCCTGTGCCCGACAGAAGGCTCCTAGACGGGCAGAGGAAAACTCCCCGCCTCTGTCCGAGTGCAGACGGGCAGAGGAAAATAGGAAAGTCCGAGCCGAAACTCTCTCTGAGCTGGAGACGAGTTGCGCGGATCCAGTCGATCAACAACTTAGAGACGTCACCCTTGCTGCGCAAGGGGAAGACTGTGGTGTAACGCGAGTAGTCGTCAACGACTTGCAGAAAGTACCGCTCTCGCCCACTACCCACCAGATCTCCCCAGCGAGGGATCTCTAATGCCTCAGGGAACTGGGGACGCCACGCGTCCGTCAGGCGACCAAAGCAGCGCTGGGTGGAGTGGGGACCTCCGCACTGCTCACCAGTGCGGTCGCCGGTACGGAGAATGTAAGAGTCGGGACCAAAACCCCCACCGAGCTAGTGTGCAGTGTACCACTCGCAAAGCTGCTGAGGGGACACGGTCACACCACTCCGCTGCTGCTGGTGGCGCTGACCACCACCGGCGCCACTCCTCTACGCAGAGTCGCGACTCGCTCCACCACCGCCGCCTCCGCCGCCGCCTCCTCCATCTCCGCCTCCTCCACTACCTCCGCCGCCTCCGCTCCCTGCGCCACCTCCACCGCCTCCGCCGCCTCCATTGCTACCGCCGCCGCCGCCACCCCCGGCACCACTCCCACCACCACCCCCACTCCCTCCACTGCCTCCACCACCACCTCCACCGCCCCCTCCAGCCCCTCCAGTGCCCTTGCCCCCCTTGCCCTTGCCGGTGCGGCGTCTCCCGCTCGGGGCAGACGCAGCGCCGACCGACTCGAAACGAACGAGGTCGGCCGCAGCAGCAGAGGCAACACAGGGCAAGAGGGGGGAGGGAGAACACCCCTCAAAGACGGGGGTGCGAGGGTCACCACGAGAGGCTCCTACAGCGACTATGCTCTTCTCTTTTGCTAGGAGGGCCTTCTCGAGGAGGTCACCGGTGAGAGTGGTGGGGCAAACAGAGAGGAAGTGGTCCCTGACTACCCGAAGAGACTCATGGAGCCGGATGACTATGTAGTAGAGGGTGATGTACATGGGGGGGGGGTTCTTGGCACAGAACTCAGCAGGAAACGCAGCGCGGTAGCGAGCGTCACTAGTGCGGAGGTGCGTAATGAGGTCAGCGACTGTGAGAAAGGCAGCAAGGTCAGGGAAGAGGTACGGTAGCATGAGGCGGCTCAGTGCAGCAGTGGCAGAGGAAGATTAGCGTGCAACTACATCGTACAAGGTCTGAGCACTCTTGTACTGGCTAAAGTGTGCACGCTTAGTGGTCGGTAAGTGGCGGCGCACAGCAAGGCGAGCAGTAGCATCACGTGTGGCCCACTGTGAGCAAACAGTGGCGTCAGCATCAGCAGCAGGAGCAGGGGAGGCACCAAAAGTGAGGTCAAATTGGGAGAGGCCATCTGCCCTATCGCACTGCAGGATAAGCTGCAGATCATCTACCCAGACCTCAAAGTCCACTGCCCGACCCTCACCGTCAAAGGTGGGAACGCTAGGGGAAGCCATAACAGCAGTAGGCAGGCAGTGAGTGGCAGAGACTGTGCTCTTACCAGGCAGGTGGGGTGATCGGGCTGTCCGGCGGCTCGGTGGTCGGGCGGCTCGGCTACAGGGCGGCTCGGCTGCTGGGCGGCTTGGCTGCACGGTGCTGGGCGGCTCGGCTGTCGGGCGGCTCGGCTGCTGGGCGGCTCGGCTGCTGGGGGGCTCGGTTGCTGTGCGGCTCGGCGGTCAGGCGGCTCGGTTGTCGGGCGGTTGGGCGCCTCAGTTGGCCGGCGGTTTGGCTGCTCACCGCTGCGGGCGCTGGGCGGCGGGGTTGCAGGTGGTGGCGAGGCCACAGGTGGTGGCGGGGCCTTAGGTGGCGGTGGGCCGCAAGGGTGGGCGGGGCCTCAGGTGGCGACGGGGCCGCAGGTGGCGGGGCTGCAGGTGGCGATAGGGCCGCAGTGGGGGACGGGGCCGCAGGTGGCGAGGGGGCCGCGGTGGGCGACGGGGCCGCAAGGGTGGGCGGGGCCGCACATGGCGACGGGGCCGTAGCGGGGCCGTAGCGGGGCCTAAGCGGGACCGGAGCGGGGCTGTAGCTGGGCCGTAGCGGGGCCGTAGCGGGGCCGTAGCGGGGCCGTAGCGGGGCCTAAGCGGGGCCGTAGCGGGGCCGTAGCGAGGCCGTAGCGAGGCCGTAGCGAGGCCGTAGCGGGGCCGTAGCGGGGCCATAGCGGGGTCAGACGGGGCCTAAGCGGAGCCGCGACGAGGCTGTAAGGGGCCTAAGCGGGGCCGCTATGGGGTCGTAAGGGGTGCGGAGATAAACTCTACAACGGTAGTGAGCTAGACTATAGGGGTTGGCACGAACTACTAGAGGTGGTCTTAGCTTTGCTTGGTTCCTTAGTGTTTGCACATTCACTAGCAAGGTTAGAATTCCAGAATGATGAAACAAGCAAAATTCCAACAATGACTACATCAGGCACCTAGCAACCCTGCTGCTAGCCTGGTCGACCGCCAGCACAGCTCGGTCGACCGCCTGCCAGCGTTGCGTAGAGGAGTTGCGCCAGCGCTGTGGAAAGACGACCTGCCAACAGAGCAGGTCAACGGCGTGCCAACATTTTAGCAGAGCGGCTGTCCAGCGTTGCCCCGTAGAACACAGCTGTGCGCGCAATCGCAGATGCGCGCAGACGATTGGCCCAACTTGCCTTGTTGGGCATCCGTCGGCTGTTGTCTGCGCCTGACGAGCCACATCGACTTCGGGATACCAGCCCGAAGTCGCCTGCGCCATCGCGATCTCGACGACGTTCGCGTGCCTCCGCCTGGTGCTCTGGTCGACTCCCAGGTGCCTCCCGTCAACCACTGGGTCCATCTGGTCGACCACCGGGCGCTCCTGGTCGACCACACCTCCCGTTGAGCTACCCCTTGGTCGACGGACCCCTTCCGTCGACCAGAACTGCTCCGTCGACCTCCCGGTTGAACTGCAGTTCAACAGGATGCTCCATAGACCTCCCCGCCGAGCTGTAAGTCGACGGACTGTTTCGTCGACCTCCCGGACGGCTCACCCGTCGCCCAGGCCAGTCACTTGCAGCTGTCAAGCATCCTGGTCGACAGCAACACCACAGCGGTCCGCTACAGCTCGTCGTAACCTGTCGAGCAGCTATCCCACTGTGAGCGGTCGGCTGCTACTCCCGTACATCCGACCAATTTGTCGGCGTTGCCCAAGCGAGGGCGGGGCCAACACTCCATTCCCGTTAACACTCCCCTGCCGCGCTCACGCTTGGGCCTCCTGCCCTCACGGCAGTACTCCACGGAGAGAACTCGTCCTCGGTGTGCACCCCATACACAGCACGCCATCACCACACCAGCCGTGCAGAAGGGCACGGCACCTACTACTGCACCTCATCGTCGCCGTCGCCGACGTCGACCAGACGAACTTGTTCGATGGCGACAGAGCACCGGTTGAAAGCCAAAAAATGCAGCGCCTTCGTCAGGAAGTCCGCCGGCTGCTCGGTGGTCGGGATGTAGTTCAGCACAAATTTCCCGCGCCTCACCATGTGCTGCAGCCAAGCGTAGCGTCGCTCCATGTGCTTGAGGTTGCCCGTCAGCCCCAAGCCCTCAGCGACCGTGATTGCCGACTTGTTGTCGATGCGGAGGATGGTTGGCTTTCCAGCGTCGAGCAGCTTGAATTCTGCAAGGAGGAAGCGAAGTCGACGCCCCTCCTTGCCGGCATCCGTGGCCGCCACGTACTCCGACTCGGTCCATGATAATGTCGCGCACTTGATGCGCGAGCTCAACCAGGAGACGGCGCCCCCTCCGTAGACTAACACGTAGCCTCCCGTGCTCGTCCGGTTCTGCTTGTCGCTCGCGTCGTTAGCATCGACGTAGCCGATCAGCTCCAACGATTTTGGTCCACCGCCGAACTCCAGGGCGGTGTCGCAGGTGTCGGTGAGGAAGGCGAGGCAACGGTCGACCTCACGCCAATGCTGGTCGCTCCTCACCGTGAGGCCGCTCCCCAGCTTGCTGCAGGCGAACGCAATGTCCGGCCTCGTTGTCGTCGCCGGGAAGTGCAGCGAGCCGACCTTCTGCCGGTACTCCTCCTCTTCGCGCTCCTGAGCCTCCTCGTCGTCGAACGTCAGCTGGGCGTAGGCGTCGACTGAGACTGGCGTCTTCGGGACTCGACCGCCCTGTTCCTTGTCGATGAAGCACCTGCGCAGCTTGTCAGCATAGCCCTGCTGGTGCAGCCCACAACTTCCTGGCCGGCCTGTCGCGCACGATCTCCAGCCCAAGGTACTTCACCACCGGCGAGATCTCACGTAGCTCGAAGGCGGCCTCCAGCAGCTCCTTCAGCATCGTGGTGCTGCTGCTGGCGGCGAGCAGGTCGTCGACGTAGACCAGCACCCAGCAGGTCACTCCCTCATTGCTGGCCTTGAAGTAGAGCGCCTCGTCGACCTGGCTCTTCTTCGAGCCAGCGCCCAGCAACACACTGTCGAGAGCCCTGTACCATAGCAGCGCCGACTGCTTCAGCCCATAGAGGCTCTTCAGCAGCTTACACACCCGGCCGGTCGCGTCGTTGAAGTAGTCCGGCTGGTACATGTAGAGCACCCTGTCGAGCTTGCTCTGCAGGAAAGCGTTCTTCATGTCGAGCTGCATCAGGTTGAGATCGAGGATGGCGACGATGCTGAGGAAGATCCTCAGCGTGACGTAGCTGCTCACCGGTGAGTACGTCTTGTCGTAGTCGGCGCCGTACACCTGCGTGAATCCCTTCACGACTAGCCTCGCCTTCTCGCGCTCGACGGTGTCGTCAATGCGGTACTTGGTCGTCAGCACCCACCGGTTCTTCATGATGTTCACCCCGCGTGGGCGTTCGACCAGCTCCCAAGTCCCCATAGCGATGAGGCTACGGATTTCTTCTTCCATGGCGGCCTTCACCGCCTCGCCCTTCCAGCTCGACAGCGCCCCCTTCACCGTCATTGTGGCGATGTCCCAGCGGTGTTCGGGGTCGGCATGCACGTCGGGGTCGAGCTCTGGCAGGTCTTCATCCTCCTCGGCATCGTCGTACAGCAGGTCGTCGTCGACCTCGTCGTACACCGTGGTGAAGGCAGCTGGCGTGGAAGCTCGACCACTCCGGCGGACGTCGGGCTCGACCTGTGCGTCGCAGCTCGGGCTTCGTGATCGGCACTTCCATTACATCGCTGTCGGTGGACTCCTCACCCGTTGACTGCTCCCCTTTCTCGTCGACGAGAACGTCATCGACCAGCTGCTTCGACCCTTCGACCGGCTGTTTGTCTGCTGCTGCCTTCGACAACTCTCCTGTCGACCGCTCCGGCTGCTGCTCCCCTTTCGAGTGTACCCCTGCCGTTGCCTCCTGTTCGACCGGCTCCCCTGTCTAGTGCTCCCCTGTCGTCGTCGGCTTGGCATCTTGGTCGACGAGCTTGGCACCCTGCCGACCGCCGGCGATGCCATGGGCCTGCGCCACACGCAACGCCTCAAGGCTCCCTTCATCGACGGTGGGCGACACAGGTGCCGACCCAGGCCGATCTGCGACGGGGAACAGAGGAGCAAAGACAGGGGGAGGGGAAAGAACCTCCACAACATTCCCATCACCGGGTCCGTCGACTTCGGCGAGCAACGGAACCGTCGCTGTCGATGTATCCGTTGGCGGGTGCGCCTGCGTCCGCTTCGACGCCGGCCCATACTTCGCCTTCCACACCTCCAGCGACAGCGTCTCGTAGAAGATCACCGCGACTGACGTGACCACCTTGTTGTCGGTCAGGTCGAGCACTTTCCAGCCCTTGCTCTCTAGCGACACACCCAGGTGAAGTCCCCAGCGAGCCTTCGGCGCCAGCTTCCCACCACGTTGCTGCTCGGGAACCATGAACTGCACCGTGCAGCCCCACACCCGCGCCAGCGTAAGGTCGGGCTTCTGCCCGGTCAGCAGCTGGTACGGAGTCGTCGTCGGCGGCATCGTCGACCGCTCCAAGCAGTTGCGCACCCAGACAGCTTGTCGTAGAGCAAGGTGCCACCAATGGTGCTGCACGCCCATGTTCAGCAACATCGTCCGCACGGACTCGACGGCCGTGCGCATCTCCCGCTCAGCCATGCCATTCTGCTGCGGAGTGTAGGGGCACGTCAGGTCGTGGACGATGCCCTTCCCGTCGACGAAGTCGGTGAACGCCTTCCCGAGGAACTCCCCGCCTCGATCGGAGCGAAGCGACCGCACCGACTTCTTCGTCTGCCATTCCACCAGCACCAGCCACCGCTAGAACTCCCGCAGCACGTCGCTCTTCCGAGCGACCGGCATTGCCCATACAAATCGAGTATGGCGATCCTTCAGCAGCAGGAAGTATAGGCTGCCATCCTTGGCAGCTACTCGAAATGGCCCGCACAAGTCAATGTGCACGACAGCCAGCGCCTCCGCTGCGTCCGAGCCCTTGGCAGGGAAGGTGTGCCGTGCCACCTTTCCGCGGACACACGAGACACACGGCGGGTCTGCTCCGGTCGACGGCGTGATGTCGAGCCCAACAGCAACTCCATGC